GAAAGCCACCCGCCCTCAATCAGCGAGACTCTTTGATTACGTTTGAAACGAATGTGCGCAGCGTTGGGGCGAGGGCCACATTCTGAAATCCACCCGCCGTCCATCCGTGAAGCAGATCACATGTACACGGCGCAAAGGCGAGAGCCACATTTTCAAAACGACCCGCCCTCAGTCAGTGAAACGCTGCATTTCAAAAAATCGCGTGTTCACGCTGCTAGGGCGAGAGCCACATTTTGAACATCACCCGCCCTCCATCTGTGAAACTATTGTCGGTTGTTCAGCAACAGGGTCGTACATGGTAAGGAAGTTGTACGCGAAACGCCGGGCCCGCCCTTCAACTGGCCTCGGTGTACGACAGGGAGGAGTTATCCATATGAATAAGGAGGGGTGGAGGAGGAGGAAGAAGAGGAGGAGGAGGAGGAGGCGGAGGAGGAGGAGGAGGCAGAGGAGAAAGAGGGAGATGAGGATGAGATGGACAGAGGCGAGGAGAGGGAGGAGGAAGAGGAAGACGGGAGGAGGAGAAGGAAGAGGAGGAGGAGGAGGAGGAGGAGGAAGACCAGGAGGAGGAGGCAGAGGAGGAACAGGAAGAGGACGATGAGGTGGACAGAGACGAGGCGAGGGAGGAGGAAGAGGAAGAAGGAAGGAAGAGGAATGGAGGAGGAGGAGGAGCAGGCGGAGGAGGAGGAGGCGGAGGAAGAGGAGGAGGAAAAGGAGCAGGACGAGGAGGAGGAGGAGGTGGAAGAGGAGGAGGAGGATGAGGAGGAGGAGGAGGAGGGGGAGCTCGTCCTCCTGCTCCTCCCGCCCCCCCTTTCTGGCCCAAGAGCGCCCCAGGACAGGCCCAAGCTGCTGGGCCCCGGAGCGGGGGCGCGGGGCCCCAAGGCGCTCCAAGACGGCCCTGACGGCCCCAACGTGGCCCGAGGTGGGCCCAACACGGCCAATACACAGCCCTAGAGCCTCCCAGGAGGCCCCAGGAGAGCTCCGAGGGGCGTCCCGAGAGAGCCCGAAGAGGCCCATATCCTTGATTTCTGCATGTTTCTCCTAATGTTTATCGCTTTCTCGCGTTCTCGAGCGTCCAGCGCTCGAACACGGCCGAAGACGCCCCCAAGATCGCCCCGAGACCGCCGAAGGGGAACCCAGAAGAGCCCCGAGACGGCCCAGGAGAGCCTGAAGACTGCCCAAGAGCAGCCCAAGGCTGCCCAAGAGGGCCCCAGGACGGGCCCAAGCTAGGCCCCAGGAGCGCGGGGCCCGAAGGCGCTCCAAGACGGCTCTGATGGCCCCACCGTGGCCCCAGATGGGCCCAACACGGCCAATACACAGCCCAAGAGCCTTCCAAGAGGCCCCAGGAGAGCTCCGAGGGGCGTCCCGAGAGAGCCCGAAGAGGTCCATATCCTTGATGTCAGCTGTTTTTGTTCGAATGTTTATCGGTTTCTCGCGTTCTCGAGCTTCCAACGCTCGAACACTGCCGAAGACGCCCCCAAGATCGCCCCGAGACCGCCGAAGACGCCCCAAAAAGAGTTCCAAGCAGGCCCAGGAAAGCCTGACGACTGCCCAAGAGCAGCCCAAGACTGCCCAAGAGGGCCCCAGGACAGGCCCAAGCTGGGCCACAGAGCGGCAGCGGGAGGCCCAAGAGGCCAACAGGCCTCCAAGAAGGCTCCAGAAAGTTCCGAGACACGCCTCGAGAGAGCCAAAAGAGGCCCACATCATTGATATGCATTGGTCTGTTCGATGTTTTTCACTTTCCCGCGTTCTCGAGCTTCCAACGCTCGAGCACGGCCGAAGGCGCACCAAAGACCGCCCCGAGATCGCCGAAGAGGCACCCAACAGAGTTCCAAGACGGCCCCAGGGAACCCAGAAATTGTCCAGGAGGAGCCCAAGTTGCCCAAGAGAGCCCAAGGACAGGCCCAAGCTAGGCCCCAGGAGCGGGAGCGGGAGGCCCCAGAGCGCTCCAAGACGGCCCAGATGGCCCGGGCCTCCCACTTCCGTGCCTTCTTCCCTCCCGCCCCCTCCCATTGCCTCCATTCCCTTCTCTCTGCTCTTCCTCCCCTCCCCCCTCAACTTTCGTGCTCCTCCCTCCTATCCTGGGACGGCCCCGCCAGAGCGCCAGACACCCCCCGCCAGAGCGAGCGGGGCATCGCTATCTATCATTTTACAAGTTGCGTTTCCCCTCCCACCCCTCAAGGGTGGCCCCGGCAGAGCGAGAGCCTTCTGACTACGCGTTTCTTTGCGTCGATGGCATGGGCCCGAGAAAGCTGGAAATCGTCGTCGTGACCACACAGGGGTTTACAGCGGCACCCGTGCCATCTGCGACTAGAACCTGAGCTCGCGCGAAGCGCGCGCGTGGTTCGAGTGTGTATGTATATATATATATATACAATGTATATAGACTCACATGTACACACATACAAGTCGGAGTGTGCGTGTGTCTATGTAGATAAATATATGTGTACACCTATGCACGGTTGAAGTACATATGGTGCAACAACAGCGCCCGAATCGCAGA